CAGGAGCTGGGGCGCAGGCCGAGACCCCTGCTGAGGGGCAGCGGGAGACGGGGTCTGGCGCACCTGCGGGTCCCTCCCGGTGGGTGGAGCGGGTGGCCGCAGACAGCCTCTCCGTGTGGGCTCAGCCCGCGCCCCGGGCCCCCAGCGGCCGGCCACCGCAGGACTCTGCTGTCCTGGCCGCTGGGGTGGGCCCTGCACAGGGTGGTGGGAGCAGGCGGGGGCTGGAGCCAGGCGGCGGTGGGGCGTGAGGCCTCTGGCCGGACTGGACAGACCCCGGGGCCCTTTGCGGAGCCAGTGGGGCGGCCTCGCGCAGGCTTGGGCCCAGCTCTCTCCCCGGGCGCCCCAGAAATGCCGGGGGCTGGGACTTGCCGCTGCCACCCTCCCCCTTGAGCTGCGCCTCTGGCCCCTCACAGCGGGGCTCTGGGGGGACACTCACATCTTTCCCAGCCACTCCCTGGGGGCAGAGCCCGCGTGGGGCTGCAGTGTTTTCCTTCCCTGTCTTTCACGGGACATTGGACATTGGCTGTTTCCCTGGCCTGGTGCCCACGCCCACCCGGATGGTGCCTGGGGCACACAGGATGGTCCTGCCCGGGATGCGGGCCGGGTTAGGCTGGTGTTCAAACCGGTGGGCTTGCGCCCCCCTGGCTGGGCCCTGGGCAGGCCTGCTTTTGGCCGCTGCCTGCAGGGTGACAAGCAGGTGCGGGGAGGTGTGGCAGGGGCGAGAGTCCTGCAGTGGCCGGCCGCAGGTGCAGTTGGAGCTCTGTCCAGGCTGCGGGTGCCCAGAGTGGAGGAGGGGACCCTGTACCACGCAGCCCAGGGGACCCCGCTTTCCTGCCTCGGGACGAGGGGCTTTCTGTCTTTGGTGTGGACTCCCCTGGGGCAGCTCCCAGAGGGAGACGGGGTGGGCACCTCTGGGGTGGGTGGGCACCCTGCTGCAGACCTGAGCTGGATGGAGCAGCCCTGATGGTGCCTCTTGGTGCCTGATGGAGCCACGCAGCCCCCGGTGGGACAGGACAATGCACACGCAGAGGGGACCCACATCTGGAAGCTGCTCGGAGGCTGCTCTGATTCCTTCCCCGGGCCCCTCACGCTTGGGGTGCTTGGGCACAGGTGCACCGGCTTTTGGAAAGGTGCCTGTGGCCTGATCTGGGGTTCTGCCAGAGGGTCTTCACAGGTGCTGGGGAGTGGGGCTTCGTCTTCCTTCAGGATCAAAGGGTGCCCCTCAGAGAGTCCCCTTGGGGAATCTGGAACCCCTTGCAGGAAACCACTTGACCATACATGTGGAAGTTTGGTTCTGGACTCTTCTCTGTCCCCACTGTAAAGATAGATCTGTCTTGCCACACTGTTTTGATTAGCGTAGCTTTGTGGTGGGTTTGAAATTGGGCAGTGGGCCCTCCCTGATGGTGCAGTGGGTTAACGTACAGCACTGCAAGTGAGCCACAGCCGCTTCAGTGCAAGTTCAATCCCCAGCCCCGGAGGTGACCCACCCACAGGGTACAGCAGCTCTCTCCCGACCTGCCCACTGCTCCCCTCAGCAGTGGACTTCATTGAATTGCCTGTTCAGCTCCCTTCTACTCTGTCTCTGGTGACTCCTCTCACCACCTCTGGCCTGCACCCCAGTTTTGTATACGTAAGTAAGTAAATCTTTAAAAAACAACAGCAACAAGAAATTGGGAACGGTGAGGCCTCGAGCTGTGTTCCTCTTTTCCCAGTTGTGTAGGCTGTTTGGGGGTGTCTGTGACCCCATGTGATGTCCGGAGGAGCCTGTTGGTGAGGAGTGGCCCTGGCGCTGCGGGGCGCTGCGGTGTTGGCGCTCACGGCCGGCAGAGCCTCCCGCGCGGGCCTGCTGTGCCTCGGCCTTGGCCCCGGGGCCTTTCGCCCTTGGCATTGGCCGGAAGGGCTTTACTGCTGCTGTGATCTCCCTGCGGCCGGCCGCTCCTTGTCAGCGTTTCAGACGCCGAGTGCAGTGTGCTCACTTTGATCCAGCTACTTTGCCGGGTTCTTCTGTTAGCTCCAGCCGGTTCCTTTCGGCGTGGAATCTTTAGAATTTTCTACATATAAGACGATGTCACCTGCCATCAGAATTTTTCTTTCCTTCGGACGTGGGTGCCTTTGACTTACTCGTCTAGCCTGGCGTCTCTGGCTCGGGCGGCGGGTGTGGTCAGCGGAGACCGCTGGTGCCGCTCGCGGGGTCAGCTCGCAGTGCGCCCCGAGCGGAGCACGCCTGCGGCGATGCCCGGTCCACGTCTCTGCCGCTGACTCGTTGCTGCCTTTCTTTCCCGTGGGAGTGAACGGGGGCTTTCCGCTTGGAGCTGTCAGCGGGGTGCTTCCTCGGAGTTGGGGTGGCTTGGCATCCTGGCGAGGGATCGCGGGAAAGTGGCAAGTCCCCACTCGCGCTCCCTGTTCCAACACGATTGGTCACGAGCCGGGGTTGGGCGTGGTCAGCCTTTCTCCTGCCCACCGAGTGGCCGGTTACCGTGGCACGAGCCACGTCGGCGCGTGTTCGGTCAGTCCGGCCTGCGCTCCGGCCGAGGCGCGTGCTCACGGCGCTGTGGCGGGCG